AAAACTTGTTTTTATACGATATTTGAATGTCTGGTTGTCTTACTGTTTGTCGATAGTATGCCGAAGACTGCGTTGGATCTGTTGGACGCTATGCTGTGTTTGGATCCGAGTAAAAGAATTACCGCCGATCAGGCGCTCAACTGTGATTGGCTTAAGAATATAAACAGTATGACGCCTCCAGTGTATGTCTTACTCTCCTTTTCATTTGCGATTGTGTTATAATTGTTGATAAAATTGATTGAATGCTAAATTTGAACCATTTGTGATGGGTTTGCTTCCCATAACAGTCTGCCTCAGGATCAGGACTGCCATGAAATGTGGTCCAAACAACGGAGACGTAAACTACAACAACAGCAGCAATTAGAACAGCAACAGTCCCAACAATCAAATGGTATTCACAACTAATACATTGACTGTGTTTTCAATTCAAACAGAGATGACTTGACTGTACAGTAGTATATAATTTCGTTTTATTACTAATTAATTATTTTTTGTTGTAAATATTATGCAAATAAATATGAAAAATACAGTTGACATTACAAAACCATGTCCACAGAAGGTATAGGTGTGTGTCTTGTTGTGTGTTGTCGTCTAAATGCAGCGGTTATTTTGGTTTAGCGGGCGAGCCCTCCAATCCCAGAGACAACTCATAACTGTAATTATAATAACACAAAAATATACCATTTTTAATATCAGTTGTGACCAACATTTCACGTTTATATCAAAACTTTTTTTTGCGACTATTATTATATACTTTTGGTTTTGCTTTTTTTGTTGTTGAATAAAATTCTCACAAAATATTGACTCTCGGATAAAGTCGATCAATGATTTGAATGTCTTTAATAATAATTAAAAATTATATCAAAAATAAATTGTACGAAATATATAACATTATTGTTGAAATTGTTTGTATTTTCCAAAAATTATGATTTAAATAAAAGAAATCTAATTAAATATATAAATAATATATCGGTTGACAAAAACACATGAATGTGTGGCTTAATTGTAGGAATGCAAGTGCTATAGGCTATAGCAATGCATTGATAAAAGTACCATGTACATTACATTGTACAATAACAGTGCTAGGAGCATTTTTACAATTACCCCCACACACCCGATAAGCCCCTCCATATGATATAATGTCCCACATTATTGTATATATTTATATATCTGATTAGATGATGTAATTTCATGACTTTTCACACTAATATATGAAATCATGAATATATTATAAGTAGACATTCAGTAAACCATAACTAAACTATCAAATCATTGATTGACTTCAACGAGAATTCAGATGTAATAATAATAATTTCAATATTTTGTGAAGACTGACAGATGACTTGAGAATCGAGTGTAAACTTATGGTGTGAACTGAGACAGTAGTATAATTGCATAATACAAGACAACATACCAGTGCTTATCGGTGATTAATTCGATATCATTGGCCTGAAACCAGATCCTAAAAATTCTGGCCACCCGTGGAATGGTTGGAGTGAACGGTGTGTTCTTCAACGGCAGATAACTTCTG